GGACAAAATTTAGATCAAGGTTTAAACAGTGTCGGATTCTATTTTAATGGTTTCTGATATTGCATATGATAAGATGGGTATTGTGACTGCATCAAATTAAAAATAGTTTTATAAAATTACAGAGAGTTTTTCAAAATTACAGTTAGTTAAAATTACAGAGAAAATTAATTATTTGTTTTGTCCGCCTTGCTATCTGTTCTGTAATTAAATGACAGTTATTTTAAGAATTACTATCCCAACATATAGTACTACTAAATAAATCAATTGGTTGTAATTACTCCCTTTTTTCCTTACCCTTTTTTTAACCCTAATAGGGATGAAGAACTGTTGCATGACACTATAGGAGTCATGTCTAAATAACATATAGTAAATGAGTTTTAGTGACTATAGCCTACCGTTGTTTTTATTTATTTTACGGTTTTTGAAGTTTTTGATTTATTTTTTTTGGCTGAATACCGAATAATATGGATTTATGGCAATTACTTTTATATATTATTCAAATTAATATTAAAATTTATTTGTTTTATTAAGTCAAAATCCTATATGTAAATATTATGTATAATTGAAATTCAATTGATTTAAATTTTCATATAGAACTGCAATAAAGAATATCAGAAAGAGGAGCTCACATATTGAGTTAAATCATTTTATATGTATCCTGTTTTTATTTTAATCCCAAATATTAAGATTTCAGATTAATGTATATGAAATTATATCAAAAATTAAAGATCCTCTATTGCAAGTGCAAAAATACTTTGGTGCTGTAATAGGTACTTTTTGCTTACATTATTATGTAGATTAGCATTATTTTCGACACTTCATGCGTCATTCAAAACAAGTCAAACTATTTCAATTTTGTTTGCCACTTAACTATAGAAAAACTAACGCCAGACGAATTTCGAATTGTTAATTGATTAAAAGTGAGTTCCATGAGCAATTAATTTCGCGGTTTGAATCTGCCGGTTTCCAATCGGTCTAGATCATGTGATTGTGCGTCACAAGATTGTTTTCCTTGGAAGTATGTGAAATTTCTTGCTTCTTTCAATTTAAAACGTAGCCTGGCCCAGCATTCCAATGAAATTATTTTAAATTAATGGCATCAATCGAATTATGCTAATTGAAATAAATATTATTGTAAATTGTAAATTTTAAATTTATCTGTGTTTTTCATTAAACCATCAAATTAAATTAAAATGTTAATTTTTGCATATTACAAATTTTTATTTATTACAATTTAAAATAAAACCTTCAATTCGTTAACATTTTTTCTCTTGAATTCATCACTGTTTTTTGATCGATTTCTCATTAAGCCCATATGTATTTGGTAAAAAATTTAATTCTTGTGATACTTTAATTATTGAAAACTTGATTTAAATATGAAAAACTTTCTTTTACTTTCTTTTTTTTTTTAAAATCTCAATCAAAATTCAATATTTGATTAAATATAAAAACTATTTTTTGATCGATTCTAAAAATAGTCAATATTTTTCCATCAACAAGTGCATTTGAATTTTTTCCTTCCAAATCTCAATTATTATTAACAAAATGAAGGTAAAAATAATTTTAAATTTAAATTCAAAATTATTTATTTAAAATTTTTTTGAAAAATTTTTTTTAGTATTTCTGTATTTTTAGAATAATATGAAATTTTTAATTTTACTACAATTTCTAATAATTCAATGCTATGGTGGTTTTGTTATAAGAAATATTAAAAATTCACCATCTCAGTATAGAACATTTTATCAAGCAAAAGCATCATATGATCCAGAACAATTAGATTTATTACCATCAGCTGTATTAATGTATATAATTAAAAATTATATACCAGAATTTTTTAATAATCAATTAAAATCAATGAAAAATAATCAAATTGTTGATAATGAAATACCAGATTTAATTTTAAATCCAAAATATCGTTTTAAATCTGATAGAAATAATTATTATTTTAATTCAAATGATATATTATATGATGGTCAACGGCCGGAACAAGAAATATATAATCTATCATCTGAAATTTCTAAATTACAACATTTGAAATCACAATTTCCAAAAGGATATCATAATCATAAGCGTGGTAAAATTCTATTAAAAATAATACATGAAAATTCACCAAGTGATTATGAAGAAAATATGGTAAATAAAGAAATTCTACGATATTTACAAGATGACGAGGATGCTAATAATTATGATCGAAATTATTTAAAATATCGTAATTTTAAAAGAAAATTATAAGAAGAGTGTATACGTTCATGAAAATTATTTTAGTTCTATTAAATTTTAGTTAATTAAATTGTTTATTTTAAATTTATATATATTTATTTTGCATTTGTGCTATAGATAATTTTCATTTTAAGAATTCATAAGTTGCCATATAAAATTCACATATATAAATTAAATTTTGAAATTAATTTTGAGCTCATTGACAATAATAATTAATTTAATTAAATATTTATTACAATATAAAAGTTAATTTATTTATTGAAAATTTTTATTATTAAAACTTTTATTTGAAAAAAAGTAATGAATTTTTTTATTCTGTGTATAAGTATAAGGTGTTTATTGTATTAAAAAGAGTGATTTTGTGTAGAAGACCACAGCACTATAAAAGGTAATTTGTAGGGTACTATGGCAGATCGAAAATAATTGAGTATGGCAGTTGATTTGAAAAAGGTGTTCTCCAGGCTGATGTACAGTTGGACCTCCAGGCCAACATCAGTGCCTCCAGGCTGATTTAAGTGTTGGAAAATGAAATATATATTCATTAAATTCTTATTATTATCCTTATTTTCTTCAATATAGTTAAAGTTGCTCTAGATAACAGAAATTCTGTTAAATTTTGAAGAAAAATAAGACATTTAAATTAAAGAATTTTGAAGAACCACGGTGTGGAAGAATCTAAAATATATTACAATATTACATTGAATGGAGAGAAAACAGTAATTTATTTTTATTATTTTACTTGCATTTGACTAAATGGACTTTTGTAATGTGCGGAACCCGTTTCAATCCTTCGCAAAGTAAGTTTCCGGAAAGTTCAGATTAAAACGATCCCAATTAAAGAATTAACAACGTATATAAAAGCAATTTAATAAATCCTCTTAAAATCCTAACTGTTCAATATTTTACCATAAGTCTCGCGGATTTGAAAATTGCAGTAGTACGTAATTCAGCTTAAGTATTGTAATTGCTGAATTTTGTAGTAAGACACTGCTATTTTAATATCACGGTCTTTTTAATTTTTAATGCATCTTAAATTAAATGTGAACAAATAATATCAAATTTTTTTTCTTCATTATTTTTTAAAATATTTTACCAAAAGTTTTTATCACATTTTTTACTTTATATACATGTGTGAATGTACATATGCTATTTAATGATAGCACAGATAAAGCTTTTATTAAAATAAAAAATTTTTTATGCATACACTCAACTAAGTATGTAATGTTATTATTATACATAGTACCAAGATATTGTGTTATACATGAGTTAGAAAGTTTTTTTCTCTTTCAACTTTCCAAAATTTTTTTTTTTTATATTTTGAATTTGTACTATAAGAGTATCGAATAAACTTTGACAAGCGTATACATTTATTAAAAAATTTGATTTTTATGGTAATTATAACACTATAATTTACCCTAATTTTTTGCTGACTGCCTTTCGAAATAATATTGCTGGTTACAGACTTAGAAGCATAATATAAATTACTGAAGATTTGTTGAAAGAATCCTGAATTCCTATTAAAATTCTACAATGAATTTTCTCTCGTTCAGTCATTGTTCTGACTCAAGCATTATACTCATTCTTTACTTGTGGGAAAGAAGTCAAATTGACATACCAACTTCTTGATGTCAACTAATTTTCCTGAACATCCCCATTACATGACATGAACGTTAATTTTGTGTGCATTACCAATTTAAGTAGAACATCAATTATTAATTTTTTTTCTTTTGGTTTTTTTTTTCTACATTAACTTTTTTCCAAAATTAGTTTGATTTGATGGATATGGGAAGACTATAACCAAAAAATTTTATGTAAGCGTTAATTTCACGAGCTGTTATTTAATTTTTTTCGCTTACTCCGCTTCCGGTTGGTTGTAAATATATTGAATTTTGGAATTTTTTATTTTTTGGTTATACATAATGGGAGACCATATAGGTATAATGTGAGCGTTTTAGTTTTTTTTTCTGACTATTGTTAATTGAGTGAGAAAATGGATGAATTTTGTTTTTTGACAAAAAAAAAGGTTCATAATCTGAAATTGAATATAATCCGTTATGTAATAAAAATATGAAAAAAATGTTAGTCGAATTGTGAATTAAATTTGAAAATATTGACAAAATTTCTTATTTAAATTTTTTAATACAAAATATTCCAGATGGCGCTTATTATAGGAAAATCCGGAATGATTTTCCTAGAAGAATTTTGCATAATTTGTTATTTCTTGGCATTGCAATTTTATTTTCAAAAGTTACGTTTTCCAATACGTCGAGATCATGTAATTTGATGATATTTTACTTGGGGGTATGTCAAATTTCTTGCTTATATTAATATAAAACGTAGCCGAGACTAAAATTAAAATATGTTAATCATTTACATGTTTTAGTTTTTGACATTTCTGTTAAAATCAAATGTACTGATTATTAAAATCATTTTGCGGCAATAAGTTGTAACAAAATTACCATACCTTACCTTTCCCGTACCATCATACTACTTAATATGAAAAGGTGGTTTGAGTTAAAATAGCAAACATTTTAAACAAAAAAAACAACATTTTTCTTTTATTTTTCAAATAAACATGAAAAATTCAACACTTTTTTTTAACACAATAAATTATTAATGTTTAATGGTGAAAAGAGAATCATATAAATGTATGTATGTATATCACATTAATAATAAATAACTTATTGAAATGATGAAATCAATTATTTCTTAACAACTACACTCCAAAATATTTTATAAAAAAAAATATTTCATCATTTGATTGTGAGCTTATTATCGACTCACTTCTTCTTTATAAATCTAGAATTATCATCTAAAATTTGAATAGTTTTAATATGATCATCGGATCCATTTGAATAACCATTATTCGAATAAGAACCACCAGAACTGCCTCCAATTCCATTTTCATGTATGATTTGTATTGTTTTAACATTACTTCCACCGCTGTTGTAGCTATTGAGATGATTTTGATATCTGCCATTGATATCATTACCTGCTCCTTCATTTATTATTTTAATTGTTTTAATATCCTCTTGTTGTCCGTAGCCTCCATTGGAGTAACTACTACCACCTGAACTATCAATATTGTTATCTTGAATTACTTGAATAGTTTTTACACTTTCTGGATTTCCATGATAATTATTACTAGAATAACCATTTGTAATACCACTCGATATTCCATTTTCAGAAACTGGTGCTCCTGAATACAGCGAATTGCTACTTGAGTATTGTGAATAACTGTTACCTGCTGAGGAATAATCATTCGCAAATCCATCACTATAAGTTCCGCCTGAAGAACCTTCATCAATTATTTGTAAAGTCTGTTCAGCAGCATTATTACCACCTGATGAATAAGCAGCTCCAGCATAAGCTCCATTTGTAATTGCAGCATCACTATTGTAAGGAGAACCATCACTTATTACTTTTATAGTTTGTTCATTATTTCCATTGCCATTCGTAATTCCATCATTATATGCACCAGCATAATATCCAGTAGATGAACCTGTTTCATAAGAATTGGAATACGAATTTCCAGGATATGAGCCACCAACAGAATATCCACCTCCCAATGAAGCAGCACCATCATCTACAATTTTTATAGTTTTTTCATCTTCATTGTGACTAGAACCAAATGTTGGACTAGGTACAAAACCACCTTGTTCTTTGATTACATGCAAAGTTTTTGTGGGACCATCGTTAAAGGAATTGGATGAAATATGGGAATAGCCACCAGCATATGAACCACTAGTTCCCTCTAAATGGCTAGAAGCCTCATTAATAATTTTGATAGTTTTTATATCACCAGAATCATGAGTATTTCCTGAAGAATAACTAGCAGATGTACTATAACTAGGACCATTTTCTTTTACTATTTTAATTGTCGTTGGCACTTGACGTGAATTAGAAAAACTTGCACTGGAACCACCGTAAGGTTTTTCATGAATAATTCTTATAGTTTTAGCCGGGCCAACACCAGGACCGTCTGACGGAAACGCAACATTACTGGAGTATGCGGAATTGCTATTATCACTTATTAGTTTTACAGTTTTTCCACTATTCAAAGTAGAATATCCACTTGTGAAACCGCCTCCATTAAACCCAGACGACTGTCCTTTTTGATGAATTAGTTTAATTGTTTGGGGCTGTGATTGGGCATAGCCTCCTGACAGTCCGGCAAAGTTTGATGACTGACTACTACTACTGGAGCCATAACCACCACCCTGGTGAATTAATTTTATAGTTGACGGTGCACCACCATTTCCGTATCCTCCAGACAAAAGAGTTGGCCCACCAGCACCGAATCCACCGAAACTGCCTGGAGAATATGCTCCTGGAAAACCTGCAGGAGATTGCTTAATTATAAAGTTTGAGGATCCTCCTCCATTAAATCCTTGAGCATATCCTGATTGTGAATAAGATCCAAAAGAAGGACCACCGCCGCCAAATGCTCCACCAAATCCTGCTAAAGATGACGGATTTGGACCGTGACCCCCAGCAGCTGCCAATAATTGTATAGGTGGGCCACCTCTACCATAACCAACACCACCTGGACCAGCAAAAACGGCAGGTGCAGTGACAGAACTTTTTGTAGATGCACTTCCTGTAAGACTTCCCAAAAGTGCAGAAAAAAATCCTGCGTTAGCAACGGACGTTATAGCTAGTAAAAAAATTAATATCTGTGTAAAGGTGAAAAAAAATTAAAATTAATCCTTTAATTCAATGGTAATCCAAAATTTATTTTCACCTTCATTGTTCCGGTTCAAATATTTAAATGATGAGGAGAAAATCGTAAATTAAATTGAAAACAAATAAACGTTATTCCTTTTTAGTGTGCTTTTGATTCAAAATATAACAATGTTGTGTGACGACCACATGACCTTCCTTATGCTTTTATACTAAAGACAATTTTTTTTTTCCTATTGATTTATAATCATAAATGACTAACAAAAAATAGTTATATATTAAATTTTTTCCACCTTATTTTTAATTCAAAACTTAAATTCATTTCTCTTTGTTTGCTCTCTGCAAAGTAACATGATTATAACGAAGTTAATACCAGGGTTAGCATTTAATAACCAATAAAGAAAGCGTATTGATTCAATTCAATGTAATATTAAGCATTAATATAAAATAATCGTACATTTTATGCAAAAATTGAAAAGAGAAAAATCAAAATTTCACTGTGTTCTCGATTAAGGTTACCGACTTAAAAGAAAACACTTAATTGAATAAAATGCGAATGATGATATTTTCAAAAAAAAAATTTTTAGTCTCACCTACAAGTGTCCAATTTTTCTGTAGCTTTAAAAACAGTAAATTTATTTCAAAAATTTTATTTTATTTTTTATAAAGATATTGAACTAAATTTGAGCGAATGTGTGGGAACCAGACTGTAGAGCTGGAGCGAATGTGCTGTCCGATATAAGTGTAGCAATGTACTTTTCATTTTCATATTTGGAACTCTGACGACATTTTTCTCAATTAGTGAAATTTAAAACTGAATAGATGAATAAGAGCAGAAATTAAGTCAAAGTCTAAAGTGAGTTGGTAATCTTTTGAATAGCATTTTACCTCTCTTAGTAAGAGCAAAAATATCTTTTGTTTTCATTTTTAATGACGCTTTGTTTTAACTAATTTCCCTTATTAATGTTTAGCTCATTGCTACAGGAATATTGTTGAATTGGTATTTTTTAATAGATTTTAATTTTTAGTTTTGTTTTCATTTTGGGAATTTCTTTCACTTAATTTGATTTGAAAATGGTCATTATAAATTTCTTTACGTAAAATTACATGTTATTATATGAGTTAAAGTGTATTTTATTATAAAATATAAAAATTTGTTTTGTTTTGTCTGTCCATCTAAAATTAAATTATAAATTTTATTTAATTAGTTGCCTTTGTATTAGCTTTGTAAACTCCACGTATGGCACAGTGCCAACCATTCATGAAATTATTTTTTTTTTTTTAAGGGACGAGCAAATTAAATCTGAGTTCTGAATTATAGTATTGTGCAACTTTTAGTCGGATTTATATTTTAATAGCAAGTTGAAGAACAACTTGCTACAATTGCTACAATAAACTATTAACAATATCAATTTAATAATATTTTGCATCTAAATTTTCAACTTATCATTTAAATATTTTGCTCTGCCTTACGAACTATAATATAATCGACCATAAGTTTTGCATAAATAATTTGAGCTAGTAATATTTGATAATTTAGCTAAAAATTTGCCAATTATGAAAGAAGAAATTGTTTTATTCAAACAAGAATTCTTGCTCTACTACTCATTTTTTTACGAAGAAGGTTATTATTTTACGATTGAATACGAGCTAAACCGAAGACAAATTTTTGTCAATTTACTATACAATGTCATTATTCTCCCACAAAATTTTAAACCAAATTTATATTTGTGATCTATTTGTTATTCAGATTGAAATGATAATGAATTGATGATAGCTTGTAAAAAATTCATTGGAGTCGTCTTGCAAATTAGATAATAGTTTAACGGAAGTGATAGGTTAGATGTAGTGGGGTGAATTGAATTCATTTTCCAAATCATAATATGTAAGTATATATGTAGTTAAGACACAAAGAAGAAAAATAATTGTTCGTACCAGTGCTGTTTTTGATATTTAAGAGAATCACCTATGGACAATGTTACGATGGCATGAATGAATTTTGTTTATAAAAAAATGTTTTTTTTTAGTTTTTTACTACGATGGTTATGTGTACAAAAATTAATATGTGAGTATTTTTTTTCTTTTTTGAAAATTAAATCATCAAAATAAAAAAATTAATTTACATAGAATTTTTGCCTTATTTTTTTTTATTTTGATTAATATTTGCAATCAGTGAATTTATATTGGAAGCCAATGGGTTATTTTTTCACCAACAGAGCTTTTTTATAGGTTTTTTGGCTCTTTATTTTACTTTTAGTTGATTTTTTTATATTTTTAGATTTTTTATTATTTTCGCAGTTGAAATTTTTGCAAATATTCGATTCCAGGTGATTTTTAATAATTTAAAATTTAATAATTGATTATTGACAGTAAATTAAATAATTGTAAGCAAGCGAGGAAGTTCGATACCGAATGTTGAATGAAAAATGTTGCGTAACTATTAAAAGTGTTGAAATATATAAAGTAAATAAAGGGTTAAAGATTATTATGAAAAGGTTATTAAACTTAATGTGTTAAATTCATATAAAAACTTATAAATAATAAAATACCACAAAAATGCTATTGGCAGCACGACTACTCCATTTTTATAAAAATTAATCCATTTACTTTTAAAACAAATCTAAATACACAATTATTTCAATTAAATTACATTTAAATTATTAACAAGTCATTTTGTTAACGAATAAACTGACAATTAATTACGAAGTTTATTCGTATAAAACGTGTCACTAATAATAAGCAGTGATTAGAATACACAATTAACTGTAACGTTATTGTGTAAAACCAGCTATATGTAGATCGATGCCCTTTATAATTTGGATGCAAATAAAGAAACTTAAATTTAAAATAAATTTATTATTTGATATAATCAACACTATAGGATATAGTGCTTGTATTAAAAAAATGTAAATGGGCAGTCAATTGAGCCAATAACATGTGTACCATATTTTATTTTGAAAATTTGAGTGAAAAACTCACAGTATTAGAGTTATAAGGTCGAAAATGTAAAACAAGAGGTTCCATTAGAATTGTTTATTTATAACTGAACTGAATTGCATACATTCACGAAAATAGGTGACATAGGCGAATTTTCGAGAAATAACGACTCCTTGCAGACGCTATACTTGTATTTATTCGGGCCGGAAAGCTTACATGGGACCACCAATTACAAAAGATGCTATAGCTCCGATCCTTCTAAAATTATAAATTATAAAAATGTTAATAAAAGAGGTAGGCGAAAATTTAAAATTAAGCTCAGAAAATATATAAGGGAATTACTTATGGATGTCTATCATATAATCAATAAACCATGCATTTTTATTCATTGATCAAAAACGAAGTGACGTTTTTCTAGTACCCTCTTTGAATAATAATTTTATTGTGACTACAATAAAATATTGGAAAAATTTAAATTTGTGTTTTCTTTAATTAAGTTAACATAAACATTATAATTGTTTAGACTAATCATTGGCAGCATCTGCCAGAAAACAACTTACAAAGCATATTTAATTACCCTTATAAATTATGTTTTTAATTCATAATCAAATAAAGAAAGAGGTAAAAAGAGGTACCGCTTACCGCTGCTTAACTAATATGTAGGTTTTTTGTTTTTTTTTTTAATTTTTGTTAATTTGTTAAATGACCCAAGTGAAATTGGTTTTTGTTTGATTCAAAGAAATTCTTACGTAATTGCTTATTATCGTATATTAGCCCTATTTGATATTATTAAAAACTCTGTATTGCAATTAAATTCAACGATTTTCGTCTTTAAACTAATTTTTTCACATTTCAAATTGTAAGAAATTATGTTTGTATGGTCAAAAATTATTTAAAAATTATCAAGATGATGTTCCAGGAAAAACTTGAAAGTAAAAATGTATGCAAACGTGATACGTCGGACAACGACGGCCGCTTTCACTGGAATATACGTTGAATGCTCATACTCGCCTTTATGTTGTTCTAATCGAAAATAGGCATTATAAGTAGAGTCGCTTAAAACTCACATCAAAATAATTGAGTCGGTTGAAAAATTTTCTTAAAATTTGCATTGTAACAGCCTGTTTGGGACTTTATTCTTACATCGTATGAAAATAGACTTAAATTATTTCATTTTGTTTACATACCTGTACTGAGTAACAAACATTGGTGAATTCTTTATATGGGAGATACTTTTTAAATTAGTGTTTATATCCTTAGATATTGCGGAATTAATTGTGGAGAACCTGAACCACTCAGTAGAAATTATTAATTTTCGCAAGTTATTGTACTTTATGGTAATATGGGAATGAATTGCTTTTACTTGGACATAAATTTTTTTAAAAGTTCACTTGATTGCAATAATAAAAGTTAAAGAAAAATTTTAGGAATGACATGAAAAAAAATCTGATGTGGTCAGCACATAACCGACCGCATTGTGTATTGTCTAGTTAAATGAAAGTGTCACAGAATATTATAAAAATGTCTGTTAAATACTTCTTTTCAATTCAAAGGACATTAGTAAGCTTATAGTTAACATACCTAGAAAAATGTAAATTTGGCTCTAGTAGAGTTTCGCTTTGTGCTACCCATATTCCCTGAAATGCTCACCAGTTAGTTTCGGTAATAACCAGAACTCAAATATCAAATTTCAAGAAATTCCATCAATTCGTTCCGTAGATATGGTGAAAAATGTAAAATCGGCCCGCAAATCAGTTTTCGAGCCCTGATCTTTCCAAAAAATTTATATGTTCATTGTTTTAATACGAGGAATTCATATATTAAATTTCAATGAAATCGGTTGATTATTTCTCTTTATATACACAAAAATGTATATTTGGCCCGTAGTAAACGCCTAGTTGCCGATGCCTGATTTCTTCCAAAACATAGGAATTTTCGCGGACGGTCGAGCTGAGCTTATATATAAAATTTCAAGTAAATCGGTTGAATATTTTCTTCAAAATGTTCAAAAATGTAAAACAGGCCCGCTAAAAAGTGCAGTTCCCGAGGCCTGATATATACCAAAAGTTGATCAATCCGTGCCATGGTGGAAATAAACTTATAATAAAATTTCATCAAAATCGGTTCAGCCGAACTTGAGATACACGCGGGCACACACAGACCGACAGACTGACAGACCGACAGGTTGCTAAAAATAGTTTATTTACACTTCCCTACTATGGAGAAGTACGTTCCCACCGACAACTCGATATGCAAAATTTGTTGCCATCACATGACCTACCTATTGTTTACACAATACGGTCGGTAAAAATGAAATTAAAACAAAGTTTTAATAAAAGATTAATTGACGTATTAAATTTTTGACAACTTTAGAATATTTGATTAAATTTCAAAATTTTATTATTAAAATCATTCTTATGCTTAAAATTGAATTGCAAAAGTGATCACAAAACTGAGAGTAATTAGATTATGAGCATGTTTATAATGTATGTACAATTGCATCAAAATAATTAATTGGTAAGACAAGACCTACGAACTAAAACTTCTTTAAATGGAAAAATAGAAAACGCTCTAAGAAAAATCAAAATATTACGTAATAATTTGTAAAAATTTGATTAAACGTTAAAACACCGTAAGTTATGCATGTATGTGTACTTATGCATTCATTTAATTTAATTTTTTAATATAAAACGTACACACTTTACCGTATTTTTTTCTTTTAATTTATTTGTTTTGAAATATCGTGACCGGATTTTTTTTTAATTTATGTTTTTTTTCCGATTATTTTCTTTTACCTTCGAACTTTATAAGTTTCATAATAAAATTAAATAATTTTTTTTTCATTTTGGAACCATTAATCACTATTAATTAATTTGAAATAGGCAACGGACGAAATTATTTACACGTGTACGCTGTATCTTCCCTTTTTATTACAAAATGACAAACATGAAAAATATATTTCATAAATAAAAATCATAGCAGGGATTCAATTGCAGATCAACAGATTGCAATAATTTGCGAAAAATTGTGTGATACTGATTCGGCAGAACAAAACTGCGATAAGTCAAAGATCGAGGACGTTGTGACATTAACTGACATTAGTGAACTCATACAGTACACAGACTCATTTAAAATATGTCATGACTGACAATTCCTGTAGTTGTTGGAGGACATGTTAACAAAGTTTTTCGTTAATTTTCCATCATCTAGCTTTAAAAAAATTACTATATTACTTAGTTGACACACAAATTATAAATGAGAAGTTAAGGAAAATAGTATTATCTGTGCATTTTCTAATGAATATGTGGTTCGTGCTCATCTTGAGTATTAAACGAAAGATAATGTTTATGTTTGTGTTAAGAAATTGTTTTAAATAGTGAATTTTGGACAAGATTTTAGCTGCGTTTTTATTCTGTGCTTATATTCCGAACATTGAAGTTATTGCACTCAAAGATTATGGTACTGTGCTACGAAAAGATGAGTAGTAAAGAGTAGTTACGTGAAAATAGGTTAATTCAGGTTTAAAAATGGTAATGATAGATGGTAATCCACTGACAATGGAAAGAAAGGATACAATGTAATCCAACTAATATTGGGAAGAGAAGAAGATTAAGGAAGAAGAATTTTGTTCCAAATTTTATTCGCGTCGTATTTTATTCCAAATTGAAATATTTCGTAATATTAAAAAAATGCCGGAAGAGAAAGTGGAACGTGTCATTCTAGTTGAAAAAATTAAAAAATTAATCTGTAAAAATTGCAAATTACAAAAAAAAGTACTCAGCCATATTGACTAGTTCACCAAATTTTTTTCATTTTCTGTCATTAATGGCCAATTTAAAACACACTTTAAAAAATAAAATAAATTTAATAAATACTACACTTACATACTAAATTTAAATTTCAAATTAATTCTAATTGCACATTTTTAAACTAAATTAAACACAATTTTTAAAATTAAATAACTTTTTTTCTTAAAATCCCGAATCGGGGTGGATATTGAGTCAAAACATTATTTGGAATACTTTGCCCCAACAATGTTTCTCTTTTATGCTGAGCTGAATTAGAGTTTCTAGATTCGCCTATTGCATTTGAAGCGGATCTTTGATATGCATTTACTTTATTTACATTACTGTGATGTGAATCCTTTTGATCATTTGGTATAACTTGAACATAATTACCATGTGTTAGTGGATTATAATATTTGGGATAAATTGGGGCTGAAGGTGGAATTGGTTTAATAACTGGTTTCATATTCAGTTCCTTAGAAATTTTTAATAAATTAAAATTTTCTGGACTTATAGCTCGAACTATTTGCACTAGTTCATCTTCAGAGAATGAACCCAAAAAATTAGATCCTACATTTTTTGATGCAGCTCTTAGTTTTGGTAAGTTAACATGATTGGGTGCCAAAACGTAACTCAATGATCGTCCTTGAACTAAATGCTTTGCCTGATTTGAACCTGATGGTACTTTTTTTGGTAGAGATTTTGCTCTATTAGCTGCTGCTGTAGATGGTTTTTGATAAATAATGTTTAGAATTTGTGTCCTTGTTCCTGCAGAGCTTGTTGGTAACACACCGGAATTTGAATTCTGATTTTTGTGTTTTTCGATAATTATTTTATAAGTTTTGTAAGTTTTTTTTGGCGAAATTGTTGGGTCTGGATGTAATATTGGAGCTGGAACTTCTTGAATTGGAGATTCCGGAGTGACAGTAGTTTGGGGAACTGTTGGTCGCTCAGTTGGGGGTGTATATGGTACTGTTGTCTGATACTGATTATATTGCACTTGTGATGTTTGCTTATTGAAATCTTCCGCACTTATTTGCTGTTGTTGCAGTGGTTGTTGTATAGCCTGTTGCTGTTGCGCTTGTTGTTGTTGTATTTGCTGTTGACGTAACTGATGTTCTTGCAACTGTTGTTGCTGTTGCTGTTGCTGTAGCTGTTGTTGTTGTAACTGCTGTTGTTGTAGCTGCTGTTGTTGGAACTGCTGTTGTTGCAACTGCTGTTGTTGCAGCTGCTGCTGTTGCAACTGCTGTTGTTGTGATTGCTGTTGTTGTAGCTGCTGTTGTTGCAACTGCTGTTGTTGTAGTTGCTGTTGTTGTAAAAGCTGTTGTTGGCGTAATTGTTGCTTTTGTTGTTGAATACGTTGTTGTTGCTGATACTTTTGATATTGAATACGTTCTTGTTGGTATTGCAGAAATTTTTGCTGTTGCAACTGTTGGCTAGTAGTTGTTAATTGCGGTGTGGAGACTTGCGGGACTGGTTGTGGAAGACGCTGTTGCAGCGCTTGTGTGGGAAATGGTTGTTGTAGGTTTTGTTGAGGAAATTTAGGTGCTTGTTGAGAAAAGTGTTGTCTCAAAGTCTGTTGTGGTAACTGTTGTTGCTGATGCTGAAGTTGAGATTGTGTTGATTGAATTTGAACTTGATTCTGTTGCAGTTGGCTTTGCCTCGGTAATGGGTACTGAATCTGTTGTGATGGTGATTGTTGATTTATTTGCCGTTGTTGTAACTGTTGTTTCTGAATTTGTTGCCTTTGTAATTGTTGTAATGGAGTAATAGGATTTAGATGAGTAATAGGCTGACTGGGAGTAAATCCATTGTTGTTAATAGAATTAGAATATGAACTTGTTGTAATATTCTTGATTTGATAATCATTTTGATTCACATATTGCTGGTTATCATTACGAAATGCTGGTGGCGGTGATAATGTAATTGCTTTAGTAAATCTTGGATCATCATCATGATTGTCATTTTGACCCAAAATTACATTCGTTACTAATGCAATTATTACTAATATTAAATTGTACTGGAAAAATTATATTTTTAAATTAAAAGCGAATCGAATTGTGTTTTATTTTCTTTAATTTAACAATTGTTACAAATTAACTTTTACCTTCATTTAGCCTCACTTTTTTGGTAAAAAAAAGAGGAAAAAATTATGATTTTTTTTTTTTAATTTAAGGAAAAAGAAGGCTTTATTGCATCTATTGAGTTTGAAAATTCAAAATATACTGGCACGTCGCTTATAATCATCTATTAGTTATATACCTGAATGGTTTATCAATTGATGATGGTTGAAAATGAAAGTAAAACATAACTGTGTTATTATAATAACATTTCTCTTAAATATTTTAATTAGTTTTTATATATTTTCTTTTGGTCAATCTTCATTTTTTGGGAAGTAACCATATGACGACATAATTTTTTTAGTTTTCAATCAGATGGCTTTAGTATGAAAACTGTATATGACAAATTTAATCGAAATCGAAAATATTCAATTGAAGATTTTAAAGTACGATTAGTGTAAGGATTAAATATAAGTTATTGATGTAGTTTATTGTCATTATGAGTTTTTAGGATTATTATTAATGGAATACAAAGAAGTTCAATAGTAAATATAAAGAGAAAAATTATTATGAAAAATATTTATCGTTGACTGTAGTCTACCAGCCGAAACTTTTTCGTTTAATAATCAAGATACTGAAATTATGGTTAATGCTTGTTTTGTTTAAAAACATGAACGCCATTGATCCGAATAAGATGTTGTTTCTACAATGACAGTATTAGGTGTCATATGTGGAGAGCAATCATCGACTTTCTGAAGTCAAGACTCGGTGTTGAGGTAATTGGATCAATGCACTTATAAGTAGTCATATGACGCCTTCGATTTTTTTCGTGAAACAATTTTTAATTCACGAATGAATGAATGTTTTTCTAGTTAAAACAAAATTTGTGATTAAAATTTAAATTCCTGTGGTTACCTTTTAACAACTTTTCGTTTTTTCCTGATTTACAAAATTTTCTATAAAAATCTGAAGAAAACTTTCCCAATCACTCCATCTACAGTTTCCGATAATTATTCACGAAAACAAAAAAATTGCTTATAAATAATTTTTTTCTTCTTCTTTTAAATTACAAAAAATCAAAATCTTATAATACAAAAAAAAATATTTTTTTTTCTAAATTTCTTTCCTCTACTTTGACCATAGTACCCATACATTACCTTAGTACAAGTTACTAAAAACCTAAGCCGATAGGAAGCATATAACATAATTGAAATACCTTATGGCGGCATGTAATAGCACAACTGATAAAATATTTTTTCCATTTCTATTTTATATTTTTCTCTTTTCTTGCATTCATCGTATCTTCTTCTTTTAATTTACCTTTGATTACTATATAACAAAAATATTGTTATAGGTACCGGTGTATTTCATTGATAGTTAAAATTTATTTGACCACAATAAGCTTCCATTTTATATGGAATGATGTTTTAATAGATTTAAACTGTCATTAAAAAAAATAATAATTTCAACAACAGCGTAATAAAACGATAGCATCGCTATATGTCAGTTTTTTTATGTTCTTTCGACAATAAAATTTTCGACAATAAATTATTTGAATTTCATAATTTCATTTTTAGTTTATAACAGTTTTCCTAACGGAACGCATTCATTTAGGTAAGTAATATTATTATCCAATAATTTTAAATAGGAAAATTATTGTTAGTAAAATCGAAAAGAATCAATGTGTCAAAAAAAAAAAATAATTCTACAATTGAGGAATGTACTCAAATGCATAATGAGAAAGTAGAAAATCTGGTCGAGATAATTAAATGATTCCTTTCTGCAACACTAAACACCAAAGTTAAGCAAGAAAATTTCCGAACAAAATATTTCGATTCATCGTGAGTGCCAGAAATATGTTTCACGTTTTGCTCCATATTTGACACAATTTTCAGTAGTGCAGGTTTATATGCAGTTGTATTCCAAAAATCTGTAATATAAGAGAAAGTATGTTTTTAATATTGTAGATTTGTGCATATGCATGTATATCAAATTGTTATTTTTATTCGATTTACCTCTTCTGAGGACCGAGGAGTGGACCGAATCAAATTAACAATTAAAAATTTTTTTCTCTGATGTATTCATTGAAAAATGTGATTCGTCTTATTTTGAGACATTACATCGAATATAATAAATTTATCAAATCTTAAAATAATACAAAAATTAAATTACATCCCCAGTCAGTTCAATTACACACATACCTACATGTATATGTATATCAATAATTATCTATACAATAGTTGAGGTGTAGACGTAACATAGATAAAAACAAGTTTTTATTTTTTGTATTTTTCGTTTTTTTTTACATGCATTTCAATTCTCAGCAATGTTAAGTTCAAATTTTTCTCTTTTTTTTTATATTTAATTTGCATTATCAATGATCAATGATCATGTGGTCCATAGAAAATATGAATTTTACAATTTCCGAATATTTTTATCTTAATCCCAAGTAGGTTTTTGTAATTTTTATGTAACAAAAGGGTTTTTCATGTTTTAAGTGTGTATACAACAAAACTTAAAATGAATATTTTATTTACATTTTATCAATAATTTAAGTTCTTCTTTTTTTTTTTGAAAATAAAAATGAAAAAAAAATAAAAATTGAAAGCTAACAAAGATTTGTGATTAGCATGTGACAATAGAATCGAGTTAAAATGAAATCGAATGTTTTGTGAATCGATTTTTATAATATTGTTATACTAATGAATTACGAGTAATAGAGATGGAGAGAGAGAGACGACTATTATTATAAATATTTGATATTAATAAAATTAATAAAGATAAGTTTGTAAGTCTTATGAAAACAAAAATGTGAAGGGAAATATAATTTGCAAGTTGTCCAAAATCAGAAATTAGTTCTAATAATAGAGTAAGCTATAGATTTGTATATATTTTTCGTGCTGTTACAGTTTTGTACAATTACAATTCATTTGCCTAATAAATATATAAAATCTAAATTATAAGCTATAAAATATTAAGGAATGTAAAATATTCAGCGATTTTGTTAATCAAAAAGAGATTTATCTCTTTTTCTCTTCAGTAATGGGAATGTTCAGTAAATTTTTGTCTATTTTATTTTATTCAGCAATCGAATTTTGCATTTCTGAATAAAATCTTTATAAATTGATTACTTTAATTTTAGCATTTCAACCATTTCATACATGATCCATAAATTTAATTGGCAGAAATTTAACAATTATTCCTTGGGTTTCCACAAAATCTAAATCAAGTTTTTCCTAATTTTCGGTGTTCCCCTTTTACCAGTTGTTTTTTTATATAAATTAAAGTTTATTATAGTATTAATAAATAATATATAGAAGCAATTAAATGATAAATACGCTTATTTTTTGTACAGTTCCAAAAGTACAAAAAAAGAGCTTATTTTTTATACACCCAACAGTAAATCACAGTTTTTAATTCGTTCGATTCGTTCAGTTCGTTCACTTACAAAGCGGAAGGTGTCTGGAATTCCACTCGAATTAAATGCATTCGTTGCCCCTTCGCCGTTCAAATATTTTTGAGTGATATGCTTAAAACCTTTCTAAAATCAAATATCAAATTATCAAAATATTTCGATCAATTTGAATCGATAAACTTAGCTTAATCAAATTAATTATTGAATTATTTAATTAAAATTCGAATACATAAAGAAAACAAAGTTTTGTGGGAAAATTTAATTTATTTTGTTTTTGTTTTTTTTTTCTTTAAATAAAATTTAAAATATTTAAATTTAATAAATTGAAATTTTTTAAATAATATGTAGAAAGTAAAAGTTTTTTTGTTTGAAATTTTCTTTTATGAAAACTGTTATGTATGTAAATAAAGAAAAAAATCATATCAGCAGGAAAACTTTTGTGTAAACGCATTTGAAAAGGCATAAAACTTTTTTGTACATAATTAAAACATAATTGAGATTTATTATACAAAAAATAAATTTTTAACATTTACAAAAATTGTTTCACTTCTCTTTACATATATCTGTTGAGCAATTTAAAATAACATTACATAATTTGTGTTTAGTATATCAGACAATTTCCTGCTTATTGAGTTGTTAAACAAATTTTACACTTGTTGTATGCTTGTTATATTAATTGTGACAGTTTTAATCATTACAATTGAAAATCAAAAAACAATTAATTAATTCATGACAATTTATGGTGTAGTTTTTGACATTTCTTTGAATACTGAAAAAGAAAAATAATAATTTTGTTCATAATTTTTTTCTTTTCAAATTTGTAAATTATCAAAAATATGAAGAATTTTAAGACAGTATTGAAGTACAAAGCAATAAATTGGAATTAATCGGAGTGAGTAATTTCAGCAATTATTTTTAATCGGCGATATTGCATACTTTCTGGCGTAAAAGAATATTTCTAAAGCAATAAACGTTGAAGGGAAAAATATTTTCTTGACAAAACGTTAACAATTTTTACAATTTTATTGGAAAACATTATAGATAAACACCATTCCATCCTCTTGAAATAATTTCCACGAATGTAACTCAATAAAATAAGTAGGAAAAATGTATTAACTTTTCATTGAATTCCCACACCCTACAATATTCCTATTCGTATACTTTGTTCTATCATATGTCAGTTCCTTAAACATTAAAACCTACTTATCAAAAACTTTTTTTGACCAAACCTAATTAAATATGCTTGCTTCATAAAATTTAAATGTCCACAAATGAAATTGGTGCGATTTTAATAGTGTGTGCATGGTATGTATATGTATAATACATAAGTGACGTCTCAAATGACGTTAAACAATTTACAAAATTATCAATGCTATTCAAACATTCTCATATAAAGCAATTTACAGACATTTGAGTCTTGAGTGATTAAGTATTAATTATCTGAAACTAAACGCTTAATTGGATTAACTTATCAGTTAATTTATTACTAAATGGACCGTATAATTAACAAATTAAAAATCAAACTGAAGAAAACCTTATATAATGGAACAATTAATAATAAAAAGGTCTTTTCATTTAAAAAATGCCCCAGAAGTGCTTTTAAAATATGAATATGAAGCATAAATTGAAACAGATTTTAGCTAACGAGATTTTCCTGTAAGGGAGCGGACTACAGAAATTGTGTGCTAATTAGAAAAATTAAAAAAATTGAAATAAAAATTTGAGAAAAAATTTTTGTAAAAATTAAAAATTTTATTTCTAATTCAAAATTTGAAACCTAGTAAAAATTTAATAAGAAATAACAATTTAAACATAACATAAATCATAAGGAACACTAAAATACTATTTATATCTTAGGTTTTCTATTCGAACTTATAAACTATTTACATTCACACTATTTACCACATGACTATTATATTTTATTTTTGACGTGTTTGGACTAATTTTAATGTTTTAATTCGACTACCATTTCCAAGACCTTTACCGCCAGATTCATTTATTATTCTAATTGTTTTTACACTTCCGCCATGATGACCATTGCCGCCACCCAAACTATGACTAGGTGATGTTTCTTTAATAATTCGTATTGTTCTTACATCTAAATGTGGTGCAGAATCTGCTGGTGGAATATATTGTTGTTGTGGTGCATGTACATGTCCTGCATGAGCACCCGATAAACCACCTGCACTTTCTTGAATTACTCTAACAGTTTTCACAATTTCACCATGTCCCGAAGACTGAACAGGTGGAATATATTGCTGTGATGGAGGTGGTGCTGCTGCAATACCACTATGGGACGCTACGGGTGGTATA